GTCCATGCTAGCCATTTTGTATCTTTTGTGTAGAAAATTCTTTCTAAGTAGAAAATGCTGCCATTATATTGTCTGGGTTGATCAATTCTATCAAAGGAAAATAGAGTTACTGCCACACAGTAAGGGCTGAGATGTAGGTATATTTTTAACTGTGTGTTTTATCATTCTCTAAGGTAAAAAATGTAGTGAAAAATTCCTACAACCTCATCCATTTGGATTTTCAAACCCCTCATCATTTTTCCAACTAAAAAAACTTTGGTATGGACTAAGAAGAAAAAGTTGGAAACTGTGACCAACATGAAAGAAAGTCAAAGGCCTTGGGACCAACTGTAAAAACCAGACCTATAATATACACCTGTATTCAGTTATTATTCACCTTTTGTTGGCAGTTACCAATATAGTGACATACTGATTGTCTTTCTCCATCATTGGACATACAGTGTTTCAATTGGCCAAATTTTCCAATAGTTCAAGCAATATAGAAAGGTGAGTAGTACATAAATGTGTTATGATAAGTTGGGTTTGGGAAGGTAATAAGAGTGCTACTAACTGTACATGCTTTACATATGTAAGTAAGGTTGTACAAGGCACATTTGGAAATACATGTATAGGAAGAAGGATATGTGTGTGAGGCAGTAAAGTGGTAGAACGCACTGAAGNATCAGAAAACAAAAAGATATTTACATTACGATTCATAACAGTAGCAAAATTACAGTTATAGAGTAGCAATGAAAATAATTTTATGGTTGGGATTCACCACAACATGAGGAACTGTATTAAGGGGTCATTGCATTAGGAAGGTTGAGAACCGCTGCTCTAAGGTCTAATCTCACACCACTCCGTCCGTAGTGTACTGATCCTTTTTCTGTCCCTACTTTAGGGCCCTTGCTCTACCTGTTTCTTCTGCCTGAAATGTTTCTCTCCTATATCTTTAAATAGTTGGCTTTTTCTTTTTATTCAAGTCTCAGACTTTCCTGTGTGGGGTAAATACTACTCATGCACACACCTCTTTGCTGGACTCATGGAAGATAACACTTCCAAAGTCTACTGCAACATGGTAAGAACAATTGACCAGTTCCGGTTAGTGGGCCATAAGGAAAAGTAAAATGTCTCATTTCTAGGTTGAGTCAGGGGAAGCCCTGCTCAATATTCTGATCTCCCTTCTTTCCTTTCTGTCACAATTGGAGAGTCTCATGTTGAGAAGGCAAACTACCAGGTTGAAGTAGCTTAGATTGCTGAATCACTACATGAAAGATTGCTGTCTTGGAGAGTTGACAACCCCTAGTGGACTTTGCATGAGTTAGAAAGAAACTTTTGTTGTTATAAGGCACCACAGTTTTGGAGTTTTGTTATTACAGCATGTCCTATCCTGTCCTAACTGATACACTACGAATACAGTGTTAAGTAGCTTCTTCACCATGCTCTCATTTTCTGTCCTAACAACCTGTTTCATTTTTCTCATAGCTCCTAGTAATATTTGTTTCCTGTTATACTCCCACTCAACGAGAGTGTAAATTCTATATAAAGAATCTTATCTTTTGTGAATTTTTGTATTTCCAGGGCCTAGAATAGCAGCAGTTCAGTAAATATTTACTGGACTTATCAACATGATACGTATTACATAGCGCTCTCTGGTATATGAAATTGGATTATACAGCTGGACATGATTTGAGAAGCAAAATACAACAGGTGAACTCTCAGCAAAATGTATTTTGAGACATTAATGGTAATTTAAGTGATATCTTTTGATATTTTTCAGTTATAAAAGTGTGTGAAGATGACAACTAAGATGCTCATTTAATTATTAGAACCAGGCACAATGTAAAATTTGGGGAACAGCTACACAAATATACCAGCTGTATTTCCATTTCTTTTTTTCTTTTNTCTGTGCCAGGAAACGAGTCCAAACCAAATACATATTTCTTGTTAGAAATCACAATATGACACTAGATTGTGATTATGCCTTTTTAAAGATTATGGATGAGTGGGGTAATGATCTTGGCTTTCTGAATTGTAACTTTGGCTCCTAACTAGATCCTCTCACTGTCAGATTCTTAGTGTATCCCACAGTACTCCCTGACTTACAGTTGGATACTCCTGGAATTGGAATTTGGCTCCATCCCTTTTTCCCCCTCTGCCACATCTATCAGGAACTTGTCCAAACACCAACATAAGTTGTTTATGATTTTATGACAAGCTCTTGTAAATAATTTTATTGCAAGAAGATAGGAATACAATTAAAAGCAAAACAAAAGAACTATTTACTAAAGCCTTCATGTACTCAATAGTAATTTAGGCTTCTCTCCAAAAAATTCTAAAGTAATAGAGAAAGAAATATCTCCAATATACAGGTATAGGTTTAAATATCATATGGAGCTATATTGAATTATAGCTATTTGACCATATTGAACAAAACTAGTAATTTAGTATGACTAAACCAAAGACTTAATCACTTTCTTATGATGCGGGTGAGGCAAATCCCCCATAGTGGGGACTGAAGTCCTGGGCTAAGAAGGCTCTTGGCTTCACATAGGAAAGAATTCAAACATGAGCTATGAGCAGATATAGAGTTTAAAGTGAAAGTTAGTGATTCAGCAGAGAGTACGTAAGAAAAGGCCACCCCACAGATAGAGTGGCAGTATCTAATCACTAGTGGAAGAGAGACTCTCTTTGCCCATCCAGGTAGGGTTTATAAGTATTTCTTGTTTCCATGGAAAATTTCTTAGTGTGGGGAAAAGGAAGAAAGAAGAACTTCTGTAAGGTACAAGAAGAATAGGGGCAGGTTTATCTTTAACTTTTGTAAGGTCCAGCCTGTGGCTTGTTTGTAATAGATTTAATTACAGGAGTGGCCATTACAAAAGAATCTCTTTGCTCAATAGGCTTTGGATGGTCTGTTCTGTGTGTTTAACTAACATCTGTGTCTGGTAGCATGTAGGTTGCAAGCTTGAAATCCAACCTCCTAGTTCTTTCTTTTGTAAAAATAGTCCCTATGCCCCTTCCCTGTTATTCACATGATTATTTTGTTGTGTCATAGGACATTAACTTCCAAAGTATTATGAATGTTAAAAGAAATAGACTACTGGCTATTACAAAGGAATTGTTTAAACTTAGATCATGTCACAAGGCTCATTTCTCTTCAATTTTTTTGGTGAAAGAGGAATTGACAAGACATAAATTGCTTTAATATTGAGAATATCTATCAAAACAGGTGCAACAAAGTGACCCAGAAGGGATTGGCATGAAATATTCAAAGTGATAAAAAGCAAGGCCCTACAACCAAGATTACTGTATTTCCCCACATATAAGACTCTCCCATTATAAGACGCACCTTAATTTTGGAGACTGAAATTTGAAAANTGTGGCTAAGTTTGACCCTGTATTATAAATTACCACCAGTGTTTGCTAATTTGCTATGAGTGTCTATGTTTTGTTAGTTTTTAATTAAACAAAATAAGTTTCTGGTAACAAGAGAGAAGACCTCTGCAGAAATACTTCATAGAATGAATATCAAATATTTCATAGAATGTTGAAAAAGTTCTGAAGGTGCAAACCACAGGGGCATTCCTCTTAACCCTGCTATGGCAATAGACAAAAGTTTCAATAATATTGCATACATTATTGACTGGGTCAATGTGTGAAATAAATTAACGTGCTACACTCTAGCTCTAGAGAATTCTTTAGCTTGCCCAGGCAATAGATAAAATAGATTCTAAAGTCCTTCAAATGTACATTTGCTGGTCTTTTGTCCTTTTATTAAACTGAATGTCCTAAGGGAAGGACTCATTTGTGTAGGCTTGGTCTTAATTCTTTCAAGTGTCTCTATTTGAAAATAGAAAATATATAAATTTAAATAAAAGCACTGGGAAGTAATAACAGTTGTATTATTCCTACAAATGAATGATTTCCTTATGTCATGTTTTGATTCTCCAATCCACATCACTGAATTTGATTACTAATCACTTATGGTTTAGATCTGGATGGACTTGGATATTACTTTACACTAGAGTCTAGATTATTATTTTTGTTAAGGTTAAAAAATAGTACAAAAAAAGGAAATACAAACTCTTTGGCATGATTTGTACAATCAACACTGGTTAATTTTTATATGTGCTTGTGAGTGAGTCTAGACTATTATTATGTTCACTTAGCCCTTGAAATCCAGCCTCTTTAGCAAAATGTTTCTGAGCTTTGATTANGAGTGGGTTAGGGCGATGACATTTAGTTTAGTTTTGGTTTTGCTGAGTTTGCCTTAATAGAACATTAAGTTAGAAAAGTAAATTCAGGATTGTATCAATGTGCCTGTAATTCAGAGGAGAGGTTGGGACTGGACATATAGATTGGAACTTCTCAGTGAATAACCACATCTATCTGTGTTGATGAAATCATCTGAGCCTGAATAAAATGAGAAGAGGGACAGGATGCAACTTGGGAGAACTGGACTTAAAGGACTTGTGAAAACTAGGATGTTTACTAAATGTAGGAGAGTTAATTAAAAATAATTCCACAGAAACAGTAAGAAAAATTGTCAAGAAAAAAAAGAGTAGAAATTTATCAGATCCTACAGAAAAATTATAAGGGAACAACTGCTGGTGTCCCAAGCGGAGGGAGTTGTAGTAGAATGAAATGGGCAACATGACTGGCATGGAGAAGCATGGAAAGAGAACAAAAACTATATCTTCAATAAGTTTAACAGTGAAGGGAAGGAACAAAACAGGATAATGGATGAAGAGTTGAGATGAAGATGAAGAGTACAGTAATAGTATACTGGAGAGCCATGACATGATTCAGTTTTTCCTTGACTTGCCGAGTTCTTATTTATATAAAATAAATACATGTGCTCATTAATTGCTTGCAAAATTGTATTTATTTTTCAGATCCAGTCAACAAAAGAATAAAATGCCTCACAATGAGAACTCACTTTTTGAGTGAGATACAAATGTTTAGCTATTCTTACAGTTATTTGTTTTTTCACTTATAAAATAAATACCTGCCTGTTGGTATCAAGACTCTGAACGCGCTGAGCTCATAGAGTTCCGGCACTTGTCTAAGCAAGAGCATACTGTGATGTGCCTGTATCTGTAAGGTATTGTACTGCCATCAGGACAGTCAAGAGTAATTTCTCTGAATTCGTAGTTTTCTTCTCGACAGCAAAGGCATGAATTTTCCAATTGATAGATATCATAATTGTACCTAAAAAAAAAAAATCAGTAATAAATATTTTTTTGAAATACATTGACATCAATGCTCAACTTCTAATCATCTAGGTCAGAGGTCGCCAAACTGCGGCTCGGGAGCCACATGCGGCTCTTTGGGTACGTTCCATCTCAAAAGTTTGCTGACCCCTAGAAGAGCCAATCCTGTCCCTCACAACAATTTAAAAATTATTCGAGAGCTATAAATATATTTTTACATTATCACCATTATATGAATAAATACCCTTTAAAAATCTTATAAATGAAACTATGATAGTTTTGTTTTATTTTCATTTTCAATTTTACTTCAGAGGCTCGCAAGCCACAGTTTGCTGACCCCTGGAAGCTCTTCTGTCTCAAAAGGCTGCTGACCCCTGATAAGTGATTTAGAAAGCCTTCGGACTAATTTATTATTTCCCTACACTCTGCATTCTATTTCTCCCTCACTATAAATTTCTGATGTGGACCAGTGATAAGCAATATGTAAGACCAAAAGAAAGAAGAAAAGAAATTCAAAATGGAGATATATAATTGCATATTAGAGTATTATAGTACAAAAAAATAAAACAGGATTTCAAATACACAACATAATACCAAGGTATTATTCTCCATATATTAGTCTATATATAAAAGTGTATGCAAAGGAAAAACATGTAACATATGTTATGTCTAAAATGCAAGTGACAATACAAAAACATACTTTTAAGCAAGAGGATTTGCTTAAGTATTCTCTGTAATCACTGTATGAAAATAAATACATTTGCCATAAATGTATTATGCTTGATATATCTCGAAAACTACTTCAAAATAATTCATCATTTTTGAAAAATGTTTATTTTAGATATCATGTAAAAACTTTCCATGTTGTTTTAGAAGCTTGAATTCCTCCACAATGTTGCAAACTTAACTCACACTACACATGCAAAGAACAACTCACTTGATGGTGTTTTTGCATTCCCCTGTGCATCTTGCCATCTCAACTTTTTTCTTGCAACCATTGTACTTAACCGTCACATTCACGAGGGAAGATCTGCAATTAGTATTACCTAAAACAGAATGGATAAGAGAGTCAGAAATGAGGTTTAACATGAACAACTGCTAAGCCTGCTTTCTTAACCATAAAGTAGAGAATAATAATAACTACTTCACACAATGGTATTGAAGGGGTTAACTGTCTCAGCACCCAGCACAAGATACCTGTTTAATACTCAGTAAATGTTATCTTCTTTTCATTGCTATATCACTACCTTAGAAGAAGGAGAAGGGGGGAAGGGAACAGGGGGAAAGGAAAGTAGTCAAGAGTGGGGAGAGAAGGGAAGATGGAGTGTCATCATTGTTTTCAATACCTAGTTTCTCATTGCTGATCATCCTTCTGACCTATAATAATATACCAATTTACAACATAACCTGCTGATGTTAGGAGAGCAAGCTAAATTTTCTCTGTGAAAATTAAATTTTCTTCTGTAAAAATTCAATTTTCACCCTTGTAAGCATCACTAAGTTTTTACTAGGAAGAATGTTACAACCAACATGAACAACTAACTATATATAATACATTCTATACAAATATCAATTATTAGTTTATGCATATAGGGTTAGACTATCTGTTGTGTTACAAGCACAGGAGACTTTCTGTTAATGATCTGCCATTTTGGTTTAAAGAAACACTAAATTTTTTTCAACACTTTGTATTTCCTATACACGTAAAGCTTAGTTTTACTTACATGTATAGCAACATTTTCTTGAATCGTAGACTCTGTCTTTCTAAATGGGTGAGAGAAAAAGAAAAAAGACTGAAAATATTGTGTAATTTCTATAAATATTATAGTATAATATTTCTTAGCATCTCAAAGGGGGAAAATGGAATAGATGAGGTTGCTGATCTCAGATCAATAAGCAAGGATGGGAGAGTAGTAATAAAAATGAGACTGAGTATTCACATAACTTTTTCAACAGTGGGTCAAAAGGGAAAAAACAATATTTAAACTAAATTTTTTTAAAGTAAAATGTAAAGGAATAAAAATTACTCCTTATTTTAATTGAAAAATACTTTAATAATGATGTTACTACGAGACACTGTTTCTCACAGGCAGGAATTTCTACCTTGCACATTATTGCAATCTTAAACTTTTCAATGTCTCAAAAATTCAATAAAAACATAATAAATGTTGCAATCCAATATTGGGGTTCTAAAATAAAGCTTTAAACTATATCATCAATTACATTTTCAGAAAGAAAAATTAGTTAAGCTTAAACCTTCCTTAAATAATTTAAATGTAAGCTTTCTTTAATACAAAACTCTTCCCCATATTTTGGGGGGATAAAAATAAAGACTGTGGCACAAAGAAAGATCTGAACATAAACACACATGTGATAATATGACATTTTTTATTTTTATAGAAAATGATTAACCTCAATCCATGAGCCTTTAAAAAAACTAGGATTTTTTTGTTTGAAAATAGCAAAATGCTTTCAACAGTAACTTATTTCTTCTATAATAGCATTACATTAAGTTTTGTAGAGCCTGCAACTATATCTTTGATATAAAAATATACATGACAATAAAAGGTGGATGAGATACCTGGAATGAAATCTGCAAGAAATTTATGTCTATTGGCCAGAGACAAACTTTTCCAAATGAGAAAGAAGACAGGCTGTGTTTGTATTGAACATGAGAAGTTAATCTTGTTTATTACTTAAGAAGGTGACTTACTTCTGCACACCAGGTCTGTTTTGGGCAATCTTGGACTACTGCAATGAAACCAGTGTTTTGGCAGGAGTAGGTGATGCATGGGTTATTGGAGTCACCAAATGAAGTGCCAATCTGGGAGGTAGGAAAGGGGAGGGAATAAAATAATTATTCACCTTAATTTCTTTTGGAGGTTAACAATAAAACCTGTAAAAACTTTTCAAGTTCTTGATGTTCAGTGAATTTCCAGAGGGACTTTCAGCCATTCGGTTAATATTTAAGAAAAGGTGGATTAAAAGCCTTCTACTTCCATGAATAAATCAAAGTTCCTCATTGAGAACATAGAATGTGTCAAGATTCTCAAAATAAGATTCACCTATAGTTACTCTACTATAGTTTTCAGTATTTTCAAGGCAGGTTATTTTATGGTGAGTCGTCAACTGGCCAATTTGTTATATTCTATGTATGAGGGAAAACAAACAATAAATATAAATGGAAAAAAAATGGCACAAAATAGGTTTGTCACAAATGACAAGTCCAACAAGACATCTTACTTCAATTTTTTGCTTGTGTTTCTATACGTTTAAAGCCCTCTAGATGGTTTTATAATTAATTTATGTTCAAAATTCAAACACCAGTTTGGGAAATTCTATTTATCTCAGGGCCTCAAATTTTAATGAGCTTTTTGGGAAACTGAAATTTTATTATTGCAGCTATTTTGCATATAAATGATGAGAGGTAAAGTTTTTTCTTTGTTCTTCAAACATCATCATATTTGATGTTCTAAAACTGTCATAGGTTCTCAAGTCAGGTCACCTTTGAAAGCTAGAATTTAAGATTCCCAGATAGAAATTTGAGTATGATAAAATTTAATTTATCAAATTAAACCTCTCATAGGCTTTGTTTTTATATATTTTCTAACATACCACATATGTTTTATTTTAATTTAAAAAATATTTAGTATCACCAGTTCAAATGCATTAATATCAATTTGAGAATGATCTGGTTTTTATGAATTCCTGATGCTTGTTCTAAAAAGTTAAGTTGCTTTCCAAAATGCCAAATCAGTTGTCAAAATCCACCTCTGAATATACTGTGTTGATATATTCACATAATGGGGTTCTAGTCTTTTGGGTTTTCTTATTTGATCTCCAACAGTTTGGCCATCTGATCTTTCTGGTTATAATTACAGTTTAACTCTGTTCATTGATTTGAATGTTACAAAGTGTGTCTTCTCCATCTGGTGAGACCCATGGGAAATATTATTCAGAATCTGTATTGCTAACTGGTTAGTGATCAAGTATATTTTCTCCCTTTGAAGCAAGCCATGCTGAGTGTTACATTAACTTCCTTTTGAAATGAATATAGGAAAAAATGAACAGATTCTGCTCTACCAGAACTTATGATTTTTTTCATATTATAAGCTGAAAGAGCCTGCATTTACTCGTAAGTACATTAATAAAAATATAAAGTAGAAACAACTTTACCTCATGGTTGGTGTTGTTAAATAAACATGTTCTTGGTTCTGAAAAATAAATACATTGTTTTTATCCTAAAATAAACATAATTCTGTTTTTACTTACAAAACAGAAATTATAAATGGGATTGTATTTAACAGTCAATTATAATGTGCTTCCCATAATACTATCATCTCCCTTTAATTTACTGATTATACTCATACGAGTTAATTCTGGGTTTCTCCCACTCCAAAGATAAATTTTAAGAGAGCGAGTACCAATTCTGTTTTATTTATCACATCTATCTAGCATAGTGTTTGACACATATTAGTAACTCAATAAATATCTCTTGAATATGTGAATAAGGAAACAGCTATTCTATTCAATTCAAATATTGTATCATGAATACACACCACAGTGTCCGATTTCACAGCATGTATCGTTAGCTTTGAACTTCACAAGCCTCTCTCCATCTTTGCATGTGGGTGGAGAAGGGCACTCTTTGGGTTTACAGTCTACAGAATTTGCATTAGTACAGGTACATCTGTGGCAGTTGGCAGTCCATATGTCTCCAGGCTACAGATACAAGCCAAGTTAGAATGCTTTTCAAATACAGGAATGACAGAAAATTTGGATTAAAGTAGAGAAAAAGCTGTGTACTTACAGATTTCTCTTCTCCCAGTGGACCATGGCAAACTGTTAACATGAAATGATAAATGCTAATTAAATTTGATAAAATATAACCATCTGCTATTTGTAGACAACCACCAAGTAGCCAATATTGTAATTGGTACTAGGATTTCAGAGACACAGAATTAAGGGATTGTATGGTGCCTTAAAGTAAAAATAAAATTGTATCCACCTACTTTGAGCAAAATGTCCCTAATAAGCATTATATATATATATATATATATATATATATATATATATATATATATATATATATATATATATTGGGTTGTTGAAAAAGTCATGATGTATTTTTTCTGTTTTTCGTTGCAAAAATGCGTCATGACTTTTCCCTATCTATCTACCTACCTATCTATCTATCTCCTATTTTTACAAACCCAGCAGAGGAGAATTCTTAATTTCTTCTGCCAGTGGTCAATAAATCTTATGGCTATTGTTTTACTTTCTGATTTACAGTCTGACTTCTGCCTCCATAATCCTACAAGTCACCAAGACTTCATAACTACTTCTCAAGGGCCTTCTCAGTTTTCAGGCTCCCCACAATAGCTGACATTTGTAACTCTCATCTTCTTCAAAAAGTTCTCCTTCCTTCAGATTCAGCACTCTGAGTGTTTCTCTTTGTTATCAGCTCTTCTTCCATCCTCTCATTTTGTCTCTACTCTTTCCCCTGCTGCTTTCCTCTATCTCAACAGCTTCCGCTATATATCAAGTAGATGACTCTCAAACTTCTAGCCCCAGTCCATACATCTCATATGAGCTATGGACCCAGGTCACCCTCAGCTTAATAAATAGCACACCAGCAGATCTATATGAACCTCAAACTCAATGTGCACAAAACAGATTGTTATTATCTTGCTCCTAAATCCAGCTTTTCATCTAAACTGGCTTCCTACTATTAAGGACTGAGCTATTCTTTCAATGATTAAAGCTTAAAACATAGAAATCATTGTGATTCTTTCTTTTCCATCACTTGGCATCTAATCTACTGCAAATTTTCATCCTCACATTAATCCTTTCCTTTTCTGGTTCACCGTGGTACAATACTACCCCAGAACCTTATTATCCTTGAATATAGCATGATCTGGCTTTTTCAGGGGTTACTCTGACTCAGATTACTTCCTGATCCAATCAAATTTCTATACTTTAGTTAGACTAATTTTCCTAAAGCCTAATTTTCATCTCATCATTGCTTTGATTGAAAACTTGATGTCCTCTTTCGGTCTTGTAAAATAAATACCTTCTCTTGGCATTAGCTTCTGAGGTCTGCCATAATGTGGATCCAGTCTATGTTTTCAACCTTGTCTCATGTTTCTTATTTATATACCCTGGACTACTCTACATGTTGTTCTCAAATTCCAATTCTGTAATAAAATACCTGAGGTTCCTCCAAAGTATACACTATATGTAAATATATGTGACACATAATATACACTGATGTAATGCATGTTGCGCATTTTTTACTGTGAAATTTATTTTCAGCCTTATATGAAAATTGACTGTATTTCTTTGATAATATTCCTTCTTACCCTATATCATAAGATCAGAGAATGATTTTTTTAACCTTTGCCACTTTCTACAAAGCACATCACATTGGCTTGAGAATAGTAGAAATTCTAAAATTACTGAATGTTAGTTAACCTTAATTTTTCTTGCTACAATTCAGTCCTCAAGAAAGCTGAAATTATCAGTTTAAAAAAGTACTATAAAGTGACAATATTTTGATCAAGATATCATATAATTACACAACACCCTTTATTTAATAGGTAAACTCTATTTAGACTAACAACATGTATTTATTTGGTTTGGCTTTATTACTCTGTGTGAGAGAAAACAGTCTACCAATTCACTATTTATTTGGTGAATGAAAGCTAAATGTATCCACTTTAAATTTTCTTATTATATAACATGTTCATGGCTAAGGACTTTTATTGGCATGACCTCTGAAATTTGATTTACAAGAGCCATTAATGCAGAATGATTGGATTTCAAGTGCAGTTATTCTTACCTGGAGGTGGTGGAAGAGATGCTGGACATCCTGTGTAAAAACAGACAGCTTGTATTAGTCTCTAAAGTTATTGGAATAGTTTAGAGATAAATATAGTTATCTAATTAGTGAAAATAATTGGCTACATTGATAGTCTTATAAACAGACATATTCCCATCTATTTTTCCTTTCTGCTTGCTCCTCATGGCATTTGAAATTCCGCCATTAGAGAGTGTTTCCTTTGGATCTTGAATTTTAATGGGAGGGGAATATAAGAGTCTAAAGAGAAATGAGAAAACATTAAGGTAAACATCTCTTACTAAAAAAATTTTTTTGCAGACAGTTCTGATGAAGAAGGAAGAGGATGATTCAAATATAGGAAAAATATAAGTATTTTTATTACCTAGTTTTAATCCTTTAAAAACTTTTATCCTCTTTTGGTCTTGTTGAAATATTTCAATCTTGTTCTACCTCCACCCCTGCCAAATGCTTTTTTTGAGGCTTCATATATCACATATTTTGGTCAACCCCACAATTTGATGATAAACTTTAAACTGTATTTTCAGACTGCTAAAAATCAAATTAATATTTTTATTCTACCTATCAAGCAAACGGCTGGCCTAGAAGCAACAGAATATTTGAGAGGAACTTAAAATTTCTGCATGTTTAGGTAAAGGGACACTGACAAGTAATAGGTACAGAAAAATAAATGTAAAAAGTAGGAGTTTTGGGGATCCAATGTCTCTCTTTACTGAGAGAGGCTAGGCTAGTCCCCAATTATGAATGCTTAGCAGATTAGCAGAAACAAGCAATAGGAGAGAGAAATATCTATTACACATAAGTGCAGCAGACAAATCCTTCCTGACCAGAATTCCAAGAGTTCACTGAAAATATTTGTAAGAGGAGCCATAAAGAACAACATCCTAATCTCCACATAGCTATCAAAATAATTTCTCTAAAACACCTATATGATCATATCATTCTCTTAATAAAATCCTAAAGGGGATCCCATTTAGTATAAGGATAAATTCCTAAGTTAGGAAATAAGGTTCTTTATGAATTCTTCTCTACTTACCTTTCCAGTCTCATTTCTTCCCTGAATCTCATACAATCATCACCAATATCTAGCTGATTCCTGAGTTCACTGATGCTGTCTCATGTCTCTGTCTTTTCAAGGGCTCTTTGGTAGAATTTCCTTCTCACTTCAGCCAATATTAAACTCAGTCATATCCTTTCTGATGCCTTCACTCAACTACCAACTAATAGGCAGAATTTAACACTCCTCTCACCGCACCTCTGGGACCATAATTGTTGTAGATGTTTGTGGGTTAGCATTGAACTCGTTGTAAAGATAGTATCTGTACCCATAATAATCTCTGCCCCCCCACCCCTCATACACACACGAAGTAATAAAATGGCAACGGCAATATTTTATTGATTTTTTTTGCTATTAGTGTCTGTTATAGAATATAATACATATGAGGTATTAAAGAAATGATAGTTGATTAAGTAACAAAGAAATTAGGACTTTTTCATACTGACCTGTTTTATTTTCAGTTTCTTGATCGCCTGTTGTTACTATAATGGTTTCTGAGGGGAAATAAAAGGATGACATTGTCATTTTATTAGAATAACATGCATGCATATCAAGTCTCTGTGTTGTGAGGGCACAAATGGTCACACAAATTCATGCTGAAAGGAAACTTTGTGTCAAATAGACAATTCATTCCAGTACCTTTGGGTCATTTTATTTTACCTGGGAAGAATACTTTCAGACTTGTTTTAATTCCATTTGACACTGAGGTAAAAAGAAATATTAAAAAAAAATTCAGGAATAGCAGATAGCAGATTTTATAACCTCATACTCAGAGATTTCAAACTAAGAGATTCATAACTAAGTCTTCAGGAGAGGAGTTATGGTGAAAACTTAACCCAAAAAAAAATCCTAGAAAAAAAGAATATCCCTAGTTGAAATTCAAAGTCATGTTCCAAAAGGAAATTTAGCTTAACCTTCCTGGCTTTTCTCTCCTGTTTCTTCCCCACTCCTTCTCTCCCCCAAAATGAACTCCTTCTGTATAATCACAGATACACTGATCATCAACGAGTTTGTACCACTAGCCTTTATATGTTTGCATTCCAGTTCCAGAGGTTTCTTTGACTCTTGTGGAAGCAGTGACTACCAGGGAGGATTAACAATGGTGATTATAGGGGACTGGAGAAGACAGAGTTTAATATCTGATAAGCTATCCTGTTGTCTGAGATGCCACCAAGCAAAGCTGATTTATTATCATGTGACTTACCTGTGGTAGAAATCCTAGGGGCAGTGGTTGTTTCAGATGCTTCCTTGAAGTTACCTAAAATGAGTAGGGGAAGAGCAATGAACTTTTTCTGGTCTCAAAAGAGAATGTCCTAAGACATCTCCACATGAAATGTCTCAAAGCACCTGGAGTGTACTAATGCATCTACTAAGGCTAGTTCATGCTCCTGCCATTGAAATATAAGAAGTCCCTATTTTAGTAGCAACTTGCTTACAGAAGTAAATTAAATATTCTCCTATGACCCTAGTAAATTTCTCACTTATGGCTCCACTTCTCTAAATGACAATAACTTTTTTCCCCCTTAACTCTTTTACTTCCTATAACTTGTTTTTTTTTGTTGTTTGTTTGTTTGTTTTTGGTTCCCCTTTTGGGGGCACAGAGTGACAGAAAATGAGAAAACACCTGTGTTGATCAAGATGGGCTTAATGTTCCCCTCAGCTTGGTTAAACTTTAGACATGTTTCTTCCTGGTTATAGATTTCTGCAGCCCCTTTTCTTAGAGTATTTACTTTAGAAAATTTGCAATTGCAAATTCTGTCTCTGCCTCTGTGAGATGTAAACCTTTCCCAGCATCCGGGCAGTTCTACAATCCAGGAATGTCTTTCTCATAGACCTGGGGGGTCACCCCTTTGAAATGTAATCATCAGGAATAATAGCACTTCTATCTATCTCGCTGTTTCTGTGGGAAGGTAGGAGACTAACTTCATTCTCTATGCACCAGTTAGCAAACATAGATGGCCTAATTACATAGACCAACCTTTCCCCTAACACACTCCAGTACTTGTCCATTAGCTCACCCCAATACTTAAACACTCTCCTGTCTTTTGTTTCAGCAGAGTTAAGTTCAAAATCTCATTGCTGGTGCAATGAATGGCGTTGACCACTATTGTAATATTCTTAAATAAAGTCTTCATTGACTATTTAAGTTCATCTGGTGCAACTTTTCTTTTACAGTTCAAGCTGGATAGTCATTCATAGAGATAAATGTTGGTTATCTAAAATATTTGAGTGTTAAAGGGGAGAAGAATGTTTCGCATGTAAACATCATCTGAGTCAGTAATTTCCATTACCTGGGCTGGACCTTTCTGGGAAACCAGTAATTTCACTTGATATTACAGAGGTACCTACAAAGGCAAATAAAGAACATTTCATATGAGACACATCTCCTATCACTATTTGCAAAGATCAACAGCAAGAGGGGGAAGTAAATCAGATGAAAGTCTGGGCCAATGCTGCAGCTAGCCCATAAAATACGTTTGTGAATTACAAAAATCACCCCCTTGAGCAGATGACGCTTCATGCCTTTACACCATGTAGGAGGAATGTTGGTCTGATGGATTTCAGCCTCAGCTCCTCTGTTTAGTGGTTGCTCTTCTTCACCTTTACGAACTTATCCAGAAACTCAGAGCAAAAAGTCAACCTTAGGTGGCTGGAAATGTACATTCTAATGACATTCAATACCTCCTTTCCTGGGCCTTTATCTTTACCCTCAACAATCTCCTACATTGAGACAAAGGCACAGGATTCATTAATGAGAATGCAAACGTATTTGAACCACTGATACTTACTTGTTTGCATTCCAACTCCAGTGGTGGCCCCTAAGAAAGGCAAACAAGAATGAGGTCAAAACTACTGTGTTGATGCTACAGTAGCCAGTCATTTTCATAAAAGGGCTCTTATTTTTCTAGGCTTAGCTACTTAGAGCCAATTATTCAGTATTGATAATACTTGCCTGTGTTGGCACTTTCAGAAATAACGGTTGTGCCAGAGGCTATCTCAGTAATACCTGTAATAAGAGGGAAGGCTGAGCCCCACAAAGCCTTTCTCACCCTAAGAAGAGTGCAGTATTGGCAAGCATTCCTGTCTCTTGGGAGCAATGCAAAACAGTTTAATAATTTTTCTTGCACCAAATGTTAAACCTGGCATATTTTTCAATGCACTTTCTAATGACTGCACGTTCAAAGAAAACATGATAGGAGGGAATCACAGTCGCCTCAGATCTTATTTCCCTAGATCTAGAATTATCTAGAATCTGATTACTAAATTAGAGAATGTTTGGCTTATATTCACATGACTTTCTGCAAGTAACTTGTATATAGCTCTGGTTCTCCAATGGAAGAAAACCAGAAAAAAAATTTGTATCTGAACTTGTGGCCAAGGATTAGATATCTTCATCAAAGCCTTAGTCAACAAATTTACTTTCATCTTTTATAGTGATCTCAACTTACATTCTTGACTACTGGTGACTCTTATCAATACTGTAGTTATTGCCAGACCAAACAAAAAAAAAACAGGAGTAAAGTTTCAAAAAAACAATGTATCTAGATAATTACATGTATGGTGTGTTCTCTAGGAAAAACCAGGGTGCTGATGTAGGTTGGCCTTATCATCTGTTATTAAATTAAAAGCAACCACTTTCCAGCCATCCTCATTTTTATTCGCAATCTGTATGTGGTAAACTCAAATGGAAAAATCATTGACAATACAAAATCCAGCAAAGCTCACCCGATGAAATTCCTGCTTCAGTGGTTTCAACACCTTATTGCAAAAATGTGGTTTGTATAATAGCAATTGAGGAAAAATTGAGAAGCTTAGAGTTTATAAATATGAAAATAATGTGGCAGTGTACAATGTTGTCCTGAGAGATACTTAAAATTTTTTTTTCACTATTTGACTTACCTGTTTTGAAATCTCCATGTAAGGATGTAGTACCAGAGCCTGTCCCAATCATACCAGGGATGGGAGAGAGAAGAAAGAAAGGGTTATGTGTAGCGATATCTTCCTTATTGGATGGAGATCACGATTTAGGAAAAATCCATGCATTTCTATGAAGGAATGTATTCCTTCTCTAAGATTCCCTGCCCCAGAAGGTGAAATATAAACATATTTGTTTCTTGCTCTATTTTATTCCCTGTGGTAAACTCCAGTCTTCTGGGATCCTTCTTTTCTGGTATGAGGATCATGGAGATAGATGCCTTCCCCATCCTCACCTTTTTTTATTTCCCCATGCTTACCTGTTTTACTTCCAGTAGATTGGATCCCTGGAATGATATTGGTGACTCCTGAAGGTTAAAACAAAAACGGAAAGGAATATGAATCTTGAAATTTTAATTAATTATATCAAGACAGCACTTATAATTTAAAATTTTTATAACTATAAGACTAGGCTCTCGAAAAATGAGCCCTAAGAATTTTGGTTGATCCTATTTGATTTGAGATTCTGAACCAGTCACATCTTTTGAGTCACATCCCATTACTCCAACACTCTGTCTTATGGATTTGACTTAATCCATACTGGCAATCATTGAGCCCAAACTCTTCTCTTTTTTTAGGCTCCTTTCCTTTGCCTACCCTTGAAAGCCCAAGGAATCATGTTTTAATTTTTTTTT